TGCTTTTGGAATCCTATTAACTTAGCAGTAATGTAGCAATTTATTTTGAAAAATAAAATCGTCTGGGCAATGCATAAAAAGCTAATGACAATTTGCCTCAGCCCAGCCGGTGATATTACACCACTGAGCGGAAAACCGTTTGTATTCTTTTCATAAGTCATGGACATCGCTGGCTGGACAGCGTTTACTGCTCATTTGTAGTTGCTCTGGAGAAAGTAGTGGTGAGCTGCCTTCTTGAACTGCTGCAGTCCACATGCTGTGGGTAGATGCAAATGCCATTAGGGAGGGAATTCCAAGATTGTAACCCAGGGATGGTGAAGGAACAGCAACATATTTCCAAGTCAGGATGGTGATCAGCTTGGAGGGGAACTTGCAGGTCCTGGTATTTCCATGTATCCGTTGCCCTTATCCTTCTAGATGGAAGTGGTGGTAGGTTTGGAAGGTGCTGTCTGGGGGTCTTCGATGAATTCCTGCAGTGCATCTTGTAGATAGTATACACTGCTGCCACTGAGCATCGGTGAAGGAGAGAACAGACGGTTGTGGATGTAGTGGCAATCAAGCGGGCTACTCTGTCTCGGATGGCATCAAGCTTCTTGATTTACGAGTTGCAGCTGCACTCAAGGAAAGGAGATGGGGAGTATTCCATCAGACTTCTGACTTGTGCTTTGTAGATGGTGGAAAGGATCTTGGGAGTCAGGAGGTTGCTACTTGCTGCAATATCCCTAGCCTCTAATCTGCTCCTGTAGCCACTGTGTTCACGTGCCAAGTCAGTTGAGTTTCTGGTCAAGAACCCTAAGGATGTTCATAGTGGGGAATTCAGTGATGGTAACACCATTGAATGTCAAGGGCCAGTGGTTAGATTGTCACTTATTAGAGATGGTCATTGCCTAGCATTTATGTAGCACGAATGTTAATTGCCATCTGTCTGTCCAAGTCTGGATATTGTCCAGATCTTGCTGCATTTGAACATGGACTGCTTCAGTATCTGAAGAGTCATAAGTGGCGCTTTACTTCGTGCAATCATCGCTGAACTGCTGACCTCATGATGTAGGGAAGATCATTTATGAAGCACCTGGAGACGGTTGAGTGTAGGACACTACCCTGAGGAACTCCTGCAGAGATGTTCTGGAGCAGAGATGACCGACCTCCAACAACCACAACCATCTTCCTATGTGCCAGGTATGACTCCAACCAGAGAGTTGGCCCCCTGATACCTACTAATTCCAGTTTTGCTAGGGTTCCTTGATGTCAAGCATTGTCACTCTCATCTTACCCCTGGAGTTCAGTCCTTTTGTCCATGTTTGAACCAAGGCTGTAATGAGGTCAGGAGCTGAGTGGCCCTGGCAGAACCTAAATTGGGCATCACTGAGCTGGTTATTGCTGAGCAGGTGTTGCTTGATAGCACTATCAATGACACCTTCCATCAGTTTAATGATCATTGAGAGTAGACTGATAGGGCGTTAACTGGCTGGGCTGAATCTGTCTTGTTTTTTTCTGTATGGCATGTACCTGGGCAACTTTCCACATTGTTGAGTAGATGCCAGTGCTGTAGCTTTATTGGAACAGCTTGGCTAGTGATGTGAGAAGTTCTTCAGTACTATTACTGGAATGCTGTCAGGGCCCATAGCATTTGCAGCATTCAGTGTCTCCAATCACTTCATGATATGAAATGGAGTGAACTAAATTGAAGACTGGCATCTGTGATGCTGGGGGCTCATGAAGGAAGCTGAGATGGATCATCCACTCTGCACTTCTGCTAAAGATTGTTGTGAATGCTTTAGCCTTAACTTTTGCATTGATGTACTGGGCTCTTCCATCATTGAAGATGGGGATATTTCTACGGCCTCCTCCCCCAGTGAGTTCTTTAATTGCACAGCACCATTCCTGACTGGACGTGATAGCGATAAGATCCGATCCATTAGCTGTGGGGTAGCTTTGCTGCCTGTCACTTGCTGCTTATGCGTGCAATTATGCATGCAATTAGTTCTGCTTGGTAGATTCACCAGGTTGACACCTCATTTTCAGGTATGTCTGGTACTGATCCTGGTACGCCCTCCTGCACTGTCCATTGAACCATGGTTGATCCCTGGCTTGATTGTAATAGTTGACTGGGAGATATGCCGGGCCATGAGGTTGCAGATTGTGCTGGAGTATGATTCTGCTGCTGTTGACAGCCTGTAGCATCACATGGATGATCAGTCAAGTTGCTGGTCCGTCCCATTTAGCACGGTAATAGAGCTACACAACACAATGGAGGGTATTCTTAATGTGAAGGTGGAACTTCATTTCAATGTCTGTGCTGTGACCACTCTTATCAATACTGTTAAGGACAAATGACTTTACAGCAGTGAGAAAGAGGTCAAGTTTCTTTTCCCTCCTGTTGGTTCCCTCATCACCTGCCACAGACTCATCTAGCAGTTAAATCCTTTGGGACACAACTAACTCAATCAGTAGTACAATTGTTGAGCCATGCTTGGTAGTGGATGTTGAAACCACCCACCTAGAGTACATTTTACATCTTTGCCACCCCCGGTGCTTCCTCCAAGTGTAGTTCAATGTGGAAGAGGACTGACTCATCAGCCGAAGGAGGACAGTACATTGTAATCAGGTTTCCTTGCCCATATTTAACCTGAAGCCATGAGACATCGTGTGTCTGGAGTCAACGTTGAGGACTCCCAAGGCAACACCCTCGACTGTGTACCATTGTGCCACTACCTCTGCTGGGTCTGTCCTGCTGGTGGGGCAGGACATATCCAGGGATGGTGCTGGAGGTGTCTGGGTCATTGGCTGTGAGGAGACTATGTCAGACTGTTGCTTGACTGTTCTGTGAGACAGCTCTCCCAATTTTGACACTAGCCCCCTGATGTTAGTAATGAGGGCTTTGCAGTGTCGTCAGGACTGTTTTTGCTATTGTTGTTTCAGTGCCTAGTTGATGCCAGGATGTCTGTCCAGTTTCATTTCTCATGATTGATATAACTCAGTGGCTTATTGGGCCATTTCAGAAGGCAACCCCATTGTTCTGGAGTCACATCAAGGTGACACCAGGACAGGCTAGTAGATTTCCTTCCCTGGGGGGCATTAGAGAACTTGTTGGAAAACATCCATCTATCGTCGGTGGTTTCAACATCATCATTAGATTCTTAACTCCAGATATTTTATTGAATTCAGATCTTACTATCTGCCATGGCAGATTTGAACCCAGGTCTCCAGAAAATTAGCTGACATTCTGAATTAACAGTCTAGTGATAATACCACTAGATCATCACCTCCCAACTTGGGCTAAAAGTGCGTCACCAACTTTCTGGCCTGTCTACAGTTTCCCCAAGCTGGGACGGGAGCAGTTGTGGTGCCTGAACAAGGACTCAACAGGATATTATTACAATGAGTTAAAAAAAAAAAAGAGTCACAGCTCAGTTCCAAGTTAGGAACTCGCAGCTTAAGGCTGTAAACTATTTATCAATTAGAAGAAGAATCCACATTGTCAAGTTTGGAAAATAGGAACGCGAGAATATACTTTCAACGTTACCCTTACTGGGACCAAAAGAAGAGTCACAGCTTGCAGCCAGGAGTGTTTGCTCTCTCCACCCTTGCATTTGGGCACTACAGCATTTCAAATGTATTTCAGTTACCTTGGTAATAACAACAGTGAGCTTTGGTAATTCCAGTGCCTGGTGTAGGACATTCAGATTGAGAAGATCATTTCACATAATAGAAGTGGAGTCATGATGAAGGATCATTTTTTCTTCTCTCATTTCAGCTAGGTTTTTAAATGAACTAGCCAGAATATGTACTGAATCAAACTGATGGCAGAGATGTATTGTGACAATAAATAGTTTTCTTTAAACATGATCAGTAACAGCAAGTACTGTCTTTCAAATAATTTTTGGATAACAATTTATCTAGCGAGTTGATTTTTGGATAAATATTGCTTCGAACACTGGAGAGAATTCTTGTCTACCATCCCTTCTTCACAAAGTTCCATAGAATCTATTAACAATTAACCAATATAATGCACAGTTTTATAGTTTAATATATATAGTAATTATATAGTTTAATAGTTTACTATCTCATCTGTACCAGACAAACAGCATTTCACTACATTGAAATAACCGCTTAAATTATATACTCAAGTCTTGAACCACATGCTTTAGGTTGCCCTGAGCCAAGACTAACAGAACACTTACTTAAAAGAAGAAATCTGGTGAAAGGAAAGTATGATAACAACCTTTTTAGCCTCTCTCTGAAGGTCCAACCCACAGCACTGTGACCACCACCACAGGGAGGACAAAGACTCATGTTCGGAATCCAATCCACCCAGAAAGGAAAAAAACTCCATGCTGTTAGTATCAATGTGATCGGCTGTCCATCTAATTGACCAAACCAGTGCCCCTGCTGGAGCCAGAGTTGCTGAGGTGACATATCAACTTGGAGTTTATGCTAACATATATGCACGTAGCAGTCCTGAACTACCAAGTGATACTGGAGGCTCAAATTTAATTTCTATGACATGGCTGACCATGAATTTCCCTGTTCTTTACATCTGCCACTGATATATGGAAGTATTTACAAGTTGATACTTAACCTGTTTGGCCAGGAGTCAAACGCTCTTCCTTGGCCTTCAAGGAGCTAATGTCAATAAATGGGTGGAAAAGTTCGTCATCAAATGATAGCTCAGAAGGTCCTGTAAGGCCATGCACAGATTTGAAGCAGGGCAGGGAGGTTTCTGTGATACAGGGAGGAACTAAAGCTCAGCAAGGTCAAAGCAAAAAAGACACATGACAGTTTGTGCAGTTAATGAAACTTGAATGAAGGAGGATGTGGTATGAGTATTTAATATTTTTCAAAGAGATAATGTCATAACTGTGGATCTAATGTGGCTGAGCTTCAAATCAGGATCAGAAAGAAATCCAAAGTGATGTATTTCAAGAACATAAGTGATTAAAAGGAATAATATTAAAGCGGATTATGTGGTCTACAAAAAAGTTCCAATTCTTCAATACCTGTGCTCCATCACGAGATCCCTAGAAACTTCCTTCCAGAACTGACTCAAATCAGGAGGGCCACCTCCTGCAGCTTGATTCATTTCAGCTGCCATCACCAGAAACCTGTCCTGAGGAGAGGCTTCAACACCTGAAAATACAAAAAGAGTTTTAAGTCTTGGTAATTTGAGATTTCCATGGCAAATCTCAACACAGACTAATAGTATAAAATATCACATAGTCCCATATATGCATAGAAACCCTTAAACCCAAGACAAATTTTCATTTCTAACCACTTGTAAGATTTTAAATATTTTTTAAAAAAGGACAGATAGAACTAACTTGAATTATATTTGAGGGGTAAAAACGGATAGCGATCCAGATCAGAATTTCAACTATTCACTCACTGATATTGCAGCGGTTGTATTTTTAACTAGCTTAATTTACAAAATGAACCTTTGAGAAAGGAAAAGACGTTAGATGAAAACTATTCCTCTTCGCTTTCCATGTTATAAATGAAGTTTAGTTTTAAGTGCTAGCTTAAAAATTGATCAGGTGCACACAAAAACAAAACAATGCGCATTGCTCAATGCAGAGACTGCAACAGACCAGAAGAGTTTAGAATCTGGGCTTCAGACTTTATACAAAGTTATTCTTTTATCAACAAAATTCTGTTTATTAACAAAACGGTAGCATATAAAAAAAAGTTTCAAATTTCATTTACTTCAACAACTATTTTACTGTTGAAGTTTTAACCAATTATTGATTAGATCATGACATCTAAGCAAAATACATCAACAGCTGAAAAAACAGATCATTCATGACATGAATTGGATCAAGCATGCCAGTGCAAAGACGTTTCCACTTGGGGGAATTCAAGAAATTCCTAGCAGTGATTTACAAATGTAAAAAATAACACCTGAGAAACAGATGAGATATTTATTTAGTTATGTAAAATTTCCAGGGGTTATTTTGAACGTATGACAGTAAATGACAGTGGTGAAAAAGTTGAAGACGACAACAGAATGTTATTTTAATGGCTAACAAGTCCCATTCCAAGAACTGAGCACAAAAATCAGGGCTCATACAAAGGCAGCTAATATTTTGGAAGATATTTGACAAAGTGCCAAAAGGAAATTTATTAAGATGAAGGAAGCCCACAAAATAAAGAGGAAAGTCATGGCATGGGTATCAAGTTGACTCAGTGACAGGGAGCTAAGATGGTATGTGAAGGTTGTTGTGATGGGGTGGGAGTTGGGCTGCCGCGTACAGTGGTGTTCTCCAAGGGTCAGTTTTAGGTCCATTTGTTTCAACTTTTATAAATGACTTAGAGTCAGATGTAGGGGCTGGCAAGAAGTATAGTTGCAGACTTCAAGAAGTCAGATAAGGCAGTGAAATGGGTTAAGTATGGCAGAGTTACTGTTAAATAACTAAATAATTTTAATAATTAAAATATTTTTAGTTTTCAAAATAATTCAAAACAAAGAGACTTTAGTGTCTACAGATAAAAATCCTTAAAATATGGCAGAACAAATTAAGGTCAGGCCTCAGTTGGAATGAGCCAATTCAGGGCACCACACTTTAGCAAAGATGCGAATGCCTTAAAAAAAGGTACCAAGGAAATTTACCCAACATGCTATGAAGAATGAAGCACTTAAGTTATGAGAAGAAGGCAAAAGAATTATGACTTTTCCTTGGAATGAAAAGAGACAAGATATAACCCAAGATAAGTTTTGACAAAGTGTTGAGAAAACTTATTTCTTCTAGATGAATTCAAAATCATTGGCAAAATGTCTAGAGGGATGCAAAGTTTTCCACACAGTTGCCAAGATCTGTATCATGTGAAAAAGTTTTGTTGCAGTAGGATTCCATAAAACATTTGACGGGAGGGGTTTGGACAGGCAGTGGAGATGAGCCCATTTAGAAGGCTAAGGACAAAGATGGGAATGCAGAATTAAGCACAGTTTTGTTTCCAAGACCCAAAGATACAACGGGTTGAATGGACTCTTCCTATGCTGTTACTTCCATGTTTCCATCTCTCCACTTTTGAACCTGAATCGATTAAAAAAAAAGTCAAATGCTCCGAACCATGGTTGCATTGGATAAGCATTTATTCATTCATGATTTTACTACAGTCAGCATTCAAAAGATATGCAAAACTACCCAGTACTGCACTAGCTAGCACAACTCAACAATCGAACCCTTTGAACTGTAATAAATAATAGTAAAATAAACCCAATACAAAGCAGAAAACATGAACCGCATGTTCAGGAGTACACGTTTGCTTTTTTTTTTAAAAAAGTTGTCTTGGGCTTCCTACCTATTAGATTTATCATAGCAGATTTACTTTGCATTTATTTCACTAAAGCTCAAGGGGAAATAGACAGCTTGTGGAAAGTATTCACATGTGTTAATAAGCAGGTATTAGGTGGAGTTACTTGCTGTTGATGAAACATCCATAGCAACCAGTGTCAATATCATTGAAAAATTGCTCAGATACCCTTGTGCACAGAGTCCATGTCAGCCAAAATTTGATTTACCCCACAAGGTGCAAAAATGGAAGACTTTCAGTTCAATTTTCCCTTGATATGGAAAATAGTCTATTTCTTTTGATGTACAATGTCAACTTTAGCAGCAATCAAATTTAATGAAAAGAAACAGCGTTGGGTGATGTTTTTAAAAAAATACCAGGGACAATTCATTTATAAATGAGAGAAAAAAAAGCAGTCCTTACTGGAAATAATCAAGGATGCTGACCGGCTGAACAAAGTAGAACCTTAAGAACACCGAGTTGTTAAACATTGTTCCAAACCAGTTGCTACTACCACCAAGAAAAACATGGTCAACAGAAGAAGGGGAACATCATAACCTCTTAAGTCACACCACCATTCTGACTTGAACAATATCACTGTTGTGCTAGGTTAAAATCCTGGAACTCACATCCTAAAGAGCACTGTGGGAGTACCTATACCATATGGATTGCAGCAATTCACATAAGGGGCTCAAAATGACAATAACAAATGGAACGTGGGTAACATCCACATCATATGAACTATTAAAGAAAAAAAAATCAATATACTGGAATGAAAATGTACAAGACTTTACCCTTTGGAATCACAAGCCCCTCCCCTTCCACTTCCAAACAAGAATTGGAATGGTTTAAGTTGAGTAATAAGAAATTAAGTGCTTAATTAATGACAGTTTTAAAGACTTCTTTTTAAAAGTAAGCTGTCCCATTGTCATATACAGAGGTTCCACTGTCCAAGTATTGTGGATGGGAACCTCATTACAAGGTATTCCTGCGCATCAAATCATCTACGCAAGTCTCATACAGCAGAATTACAGAAGCAAATAAATTTGCAAGAAAAGAAGAATCAGTTCTAAATGATGCATTTGGCTTACATTCTTTAGCTCTATTGTACAGAGTGTGGAACTCCTATAAATATTACAAGCAACACAGTGGATAAATTAGACATTTGGAGCTTCACATCTATGAAACTCACAGAATAAGACAAGTGGATTTGAGAGATGACTAATTTGAAACTCATCGATAGTTAATTATTAGCGCCTCACAGAATAACATTTCTAATAGTAGTTCAGGATACCTGCTATTTCACGTGAGGGAAATTTGATAAAATGGCCAAGTTTTGGAAACAAAATGAAAATTCATTTCAATGGTTCTCTTCAAATGTTTTAAAAGAAAATATTTTATAAAGTTAACTATCTGCTCGACAAAAATGGCACAAGTACCACTGCAAAATGTAGGGAAACCTGTGTGCAAGAATTTCTAAAACAGTTAACTATGGGAGTCATAGTTATTTATGAAGTGATAGATTGTGGTTTGCAAGCTGACAATGCTTTGAAAGCTGATAAATGGAAATGGTAATTCTTGATTGTGCAACTCGCTGAGGGTGCACTATAGGTGGGGAGGGAATGTCAGATTGTAGAAAAAAAACATTGAGCTGAAGGTAGATAATTATGACACTGGATAGTATTCACCCCAACTGGAATTCTTTATTCCTTAAGAGAATTATACCAGTGAACTACAATTAAACTTAAAACAAAAGCTAAATATTGTGGTTCTGAAAAGGACAGATGCCAGATGCCAGATGGTATCAATGGAGAGAGAAATAGAGCTAATGCTTTAGAGTTTTGACTGTTCATTAACATAAAGGTTAGATGAATAGGAAAAAAACACTAAAGATTCAAATAAACAAATTCCTTAAATGTTTTAGTTCTGGTAAAACCCTTCAAGGTCAAGACTGTTGGGTATTATAAAGAGAGGCAACAAGTACATAAGCACATAATTACGATCAATTTATAAAGCGAGACATTGCATGAGTTCAGAGGACGGTACGTGTTGCATTATAGGAAAGGCAACAAGGCAAAGAGCATATCTAGCAGAATTATCCCAGCATGGAAAACTGTAGTTACTCGGTGAATTGGTGATTACAAAATGTATTTTTTCATGGGATGTGAGCATCACTGCAAGACCAACGTCTGTTGCCTATGCCTAATTGCCTTTGAACAAGTGGTAGCAAGCTTCTTGAATTACTGCAGTCTACCTGTTGTAGGTATGCCTGAAGTTATGTTAGAGAGAGAGTTGGAAAGTGCAGAAAACAGTGATATACAGTAGCTCCAAGGCAGAATGGCATGTGGCTTGGAGGAAAAGGCTCAAGCGTTACCGTCCCCATGAGCCTGTCACCCTTGTTCTTCTAGGTGGTATAAGTCCTAAGTTTAAAAGGTGCTATCAGAAAAGTCTTGGTGAGTTACTGGCAGACACGCTCTTGTCCAAAACTGCAGCATCACTTCTGATATATATATCTGTATCAATTGGTCTGCCTCACTTGAACATTTATGCAATAGTTTGGTTCAGTTGAACAAATTACAGGGCATGTCAGAGGGCAGTTGAGAGTCAACCACCAGAGCTGAGGCTCTGGAATTACAGGCTGGCCAGAGCATTTGACGATCGCAGATTTCCTTCCCTAATTAATTGATCTGGCGTCAACTAATTAACCTACATTCTAAACGTGCAGTGGTGGGATTTGAAGTGATCTGTATTCCACTTATACTCCATCTCAACAGGAGACAAGGTATGGTATACGTCTTGAGTCTTGAACTCGTGTTACAACGCAGTTCGTAAAAGAAAACAGGAAAAGGAAAAAAAATTAAGTCACACCAAAATTATGAATTTAAAAGAATTTTAAATGAATAAGCCCATTTTTCAGGAGGTACCTGTTGAAAAACAATTAACAAATTATGAACTTAGATCTTTATTTTAGGTTTGTTGCTCTAAACATTAATTCTGTAGAACATTTACTGAAAGCCATCTAAATCTGTACCAATTTGTTTTTCATGGGGTACGTTGATTCACAATTGAATTTCTTGATCTCTGAAATTAAAGATGTGAGAACAATCTCTGCAGCCAAGTTGAACAATTGTATCAATTGTTAGTGTATTGTTTTTACATTTTCCATGTGGAAATTCCTTATAGATATCAATGTTTTGCACTAACTTCTGAAAGACTGCTTCAGCTACCCTTGAACGCACTGTATGGCAACAGAATTATCAAGCTAGCATATTCAAAAAATACAGTAAAGTGACTTCCTCTGAAAACCTGCAAATGATTGTATTTGTGTATTATTTAAAACAGTCAATTGCAACTGTGCACAGAAAATACTTCAGAATTGCAGTTTTATCATGGACTTCAAGAGATGTACTTAAATTCTAACTAGCAGCTCTGAAATTCAGTGCTTCATGTATGTGAGATTACATTCATTATTAAGGATAGCATATTTCATACATGAAATTGGAAATGCTACATATGTTTCAATTTTCGGATACACTTTACAAATTTGTCACAGTTTTACCTGTCATTTCTACTCATGTATTTTAAACTTAATTTACATGTTATAAAAACCACATCCAAAGCTACGAACGGTTGCTCTTCTGGTGCAGTAGGTAGCTCCAACTGGAGCTCCTCCACTCCTCCTGTTTCTTTCCAGTTACCTTCCTTTTTTTCCCCCCACAGATGCAGAGTGGGCTAAAGGCCCAGAGACGAGCGGGGACAGCCAGCAGGCTGGAGGCCTGAACCGAGCGGGACAGTTGTTGGACTGGGACCAGTGCAGGCGGTCAACAGCTTGCAAGCCGGGTCAGACCACGTATAGAAGCCTCCTGCACTGACCTACTGCAGGCCCTTCATAGAAAGGCTGTAATGCTTATCTTTTTGACTTCATTTCTCATTTTTCTACTTATACTATAACAATGTAATGTAGCTTTTTCCTTTTTTCCTTTATTTCTCTATTTTCTATCTAAGACCCATACCTAGGTACTTTGTACCCAAGATGGCGCCATGTGAGGCAACATTGCAAACTTTTCACTGTACCCCTGTACTTCCATACTTGAGTACATGTGACAATAAGGGATATTCCATTCTAGATCACCAAATATACCAGGAGATCACTTCTCAAAAGTAGCAATAAAGATAGACATATGTATAAATATTGTAAGTTTTTTTTTTAAAATAATCTGATTGTTTTGAATAATTTGTTTATGGTGTAGAATGCAGGTCCGACAGGGCATTACAAAAAATGTAATGTAATGGACACAGGCATCGGTAGCATGGCATCTTGCAGTTACAAAGGGAGCACACTCAGTTTTTAAGAGAGCTCTAAATCAATGGTATTAAAACCAGACAGTTTTTGTATAACAGTTGAACATACCAAATACACAAGTCATGTTTACTGCCATTTACTAATTGTATCTCCTGAAATCTGAAGCTTCACAAATGTATAGATACATGAAATGGAAACCTTCACATTTATATGAAATTTCATGATGTCATCATATCCTTGTGCTTATTCACTGAGAGCTGAGCCATGGTTGATCAAATTTTGGTCCTCCATCATTACCAATTTAATTAATCTATAAACAGTAATTAAGAAATTTTGATGTTCATGGAGCTAAACCAATGCTGACATTTACCGTTATGAATCACATGAAGTAGTATTTTTTGGTGAATTACCAGCAGGTGACCTGAAGAACTACTTCCAATCATATAATCAATTTTACTTTCCCAGAGGTATGGGTGAGGAGGTAGGAGAGTTTATGGATTACTGTTACCTTTTAATCATTTGCATTCCTAGATTTTGATGTTAAGATATTTTATTAAATGTGCATAAGGCTAAGCAGGTAAATATTTGGTAATTTTGTTGCATCTCATTTCTACCAACTGTCAATAACAGCTTCAGAACAAACATCTACTGCAGAACTTGATTTTCCTTAAAAAAAAACAAGTGTCTAAAGAGAATATTTCACATAGAATATCTGCTCCCAGATAGATTTGTTTTTAAAGCACAATGGGGACTAAGAGCCAAAAGGCATAAATAGATATACAGAGATCATAGTTAACAATTAAGATCATGTAGCAATTCAGTAAAATCCAGTTTTCCTTAAAAATAAAATATTTTTTATATGTCCTGTGTGGATTAGAGCGCCAATTGAACAATGTAATCTAGTTGCAGTAAACATGAATTGTATATTTCCAATTACTTGAGCATGATGAGAATCATTGTGTCAAAGGGAGTATAAAAGTTTCAGCGAAACATTCAAGTAGGACTGCAAAAGCAAATATTGCTTGAAGTCAAACAGGAACAAAAAGATTCTCGGTAAACTCGGCAGACCTGAATCATTAACTTTTGAAAATACTTGTCAGAGGACACGTGTGTCGTTGGCTAGGTCTGCATTTATTATTCACACCTAATTTACTCAGATGGCAGTTAAGAGTCACCCACTTTTCTGACAGTCTAGAGTCATATAGTAGGCCAGCCCAAGTAAGAGTTGCAGATTTCCTTCCCTAAAGGACATCAGTGAATCAGATGGCATTTTATGACAATTGATAGCAGTTACTTGATTGCCTTTAGGCTAGCTTTTTATTCCAGATTTTTACTGAATTCAAAAATTTCACCAGCTACCATGGTGGAATTCAAACATGTCCCCAAAACATTAGCCTAGGGCTCTGGATTTCTAGTCCAGTGGCAATGCTACTAGGGCACCACCTCCCCCTAACTACATGACCTGTCGGACTTCAAAATAAGCTTATACTGATTACATTCCTTATCCTGTTAATTTCACTCAATTTTCATTTTGCTTTACAATGACAAAAAGAGTTTATGGATCACATTAAATCTATTATTAAATAAACTATTTACAGACAATAAGATGAGAACATGCCATACCTCCATGGAGTGACACTAGAATATCCAGTGAACTGCCTGGTTCGAAGCTGCCATTGCTTGGTTTCACCCTATATTTCTCTGGAGCTGTTGTTCGAACCTTGTTTGGGGGTGGGGGAAAAAAAAAGGCAGACGGCTTGAATACCACCATCTCTTTATTCTCCATTGATCCTTGGTATTAGATTTTTCCAAACATGCTACATGTATCATTTTACAGAGAAATAATTGTCTAAAAGCATTGATGCAAAGATATCCAATTTTTAAAAAACTATTTTTAAGCACTTGACATTAATTGATATATACACATCTTCAAAAATTTAGAAAAATGCTTAGAAATATCATGTTACTAGTAATTTATTGAATGGCTGACTTGATTAATTTAAAAGTGCCTGGGGCTCAAAATACTTATGTAAGTATTAAATATAGTGGGACTTTTCTTAAAGTATTCAAATTACATTTTGAAGGTATGAATAGCAAATTTCTATCGTTGAGGCGAGAATAATGAATGCATCTTTGGACAATCTATTCTGAATGGCAAACTGGTTGTTTCCACTCCACATATTCAAGCACAAAGACTAGGCTGATACTTCAGCATAATTCTGATTTGAATGTTACAATGTCAGTGATTTGTTAGATAAAAGGTTATTACTGAAAAAGATTTCCCCTACAATATCTAGAAAACAACAGAGGAGTTCACAAAATCATTATCTGACATTAAACAGATTATCTGTTATTATCAAATTGTTTTTGGTGCACTGTACTGTGACTAAATTGGCTTCTAAATCTCTTAGATTAGAAAACATTTCTAAAAGCAGTTAGCAACATCAGAAGATGAAGAAACTCAGCAGGTCTGGCAACATTTGTGGAGAGAGAAGCAGAGTTAACGTTTCAAATCCAAAGACCTTAAAAGTAGTTAACTGGCTATAGCGCACTTTGGGACATCGAATGGTGAAGAAAGTAGTAACACAAATCTAAGACCTTTTCCTAACTGTCACCTCCAGGATTTACACAACTGGGTAAATTGGGTCCACTTTTGCTAGTCAGTTATGTAAAGATTTGAATAAGAACGTAGGAGGCATGGTTAGTAAGTTTGTGAATGATACCAAAACTGGTGGTATAGTGGACAGTGAAGAAGGTTATCTAAGATTACAAAGAAATTTGATCGATTGGTTCAATGGGCTGAGGAGTGGCAGATGGCATTTAATTTGGATAAATGCATGATATTGCATTTTGGTAAAACAAACAAGATTTATACAATTAATGGTAGGGTAGCGTTGCAGAACAGACAGACCTAGGGGTTCAAGTGAATAATTCTTTGAAATTTGCATCACATATAGATAGAGTGGTTAAAAAGGTGTTTAGCACTTTTACTGGAGGTTGCACAGAATGTTGGTAAGGGCTCTTCTGAAGTACTGCGTGCAGTTGTGGTCACCCTGCTATAGGAAGGATATTATTAAGTTGGAGAGGGTTCAGAAAAGTTTTACCAGGCAGTTGTCAGGAACGAGAGGTTTGAGCTATAAAAATAGGCTGGGACTTTTACAACAAGGAGGTTGAGGAGTGACCTTATAGAGCTGTGTAAAATCATGACGGGCACTTAAATGAATAGCATTCCCTAGGGTGAGGGAGTTCAAAACTACGGGACTTATTTTTAAGGTGAGACGAGCAAGTTTTAAAAAGCATGTGTGGAATGAACTGCCAGAGGAAGTAATGGATGCAGGTACAGTTACAATATTTAAAGGACATGTGGGCAATTATATTTGAATGGAAAGATTTGGAGGGATACAGGCCAAATGCAGGCAGATGGGACTAGTTTAGTTTAGGAACATGATTGGCATGGACTAATTAGACCAAAGGGTCTGTTTCCTCGTTGTGTGACTCAATGACTCTATAAATCATTGTAAATGTGTGACCAGATTGTATTCATTCAATTGTTTTGGAATAAGTCAAAGTTTATATGAAATAACTGAAGTATTTCTGGGAGAAATAGGGATTTTTGTATTTATAACACCTTCACTTTCACAAAAGATATAACCAATTACCATAAGAGATAGAAGCAGTGCTAGCCACACGATCAGCATCTGCTCCACCATTCTAAAATTATAACATTAACAGCAAAAAATAGTTCATTTTCCACTTCAACTCCACTTTTCTATCACCATTATCCTTCCACTTCCTAAGTATCCAAAAAAAAAAAGAGCTTTGAATATACTCAATAACTAGCCCTCCTTATCGCTCTTGGGTAGGGAGCTTCAAGGAATAAAGGAATTTCTTCTCATCTCTGTGCTATGTAACCCTCCCCTTATGACTATCTGATTGGACTCTCCAGCCAGGAGGAACAGTGACTCAATATCTGCCCCATCAAGACCTCGCAGAATGTGTGAAGTTTCATTGGTTTGCCTTTAGAGTTCTTCTAAACCTTAGAGAATAAAGGTGTACTATACTTAATTCTATAATTACACATTTAAAAATGCTTGTTTTTCTTGGGAATTAAACACAACAGTTTCTTAAAGGCTTAACATAAATGATCAAATCCAATTCTGCAATGATTGCTAACCCAAAGAACTTACCTTAAATGCAACAGGGTTTTTTGTCACATTTGTCAGCACTATCAAACACTTAGTTTCTCTACTTTCTTTAGAGCCAAACTGAAGATCTTCAGCAGGACTATTTTAAAAACAAAAACAGATATTATGTGTAACTGGTTGGAAAGAGAGGCTATGCATGAGAGCCAGTATGACAGAAGAAATTTCTCCACTACACAAGTTATGTTTTGGTTGAGTTTCTATGTACTGCCGAAATTTTAATCAAAAAACTAACATTCCAAATTTAAATAAGACATAATTTACATAGACAGTAGGCAGTACAATTAATGTCTCAATTTCTTTTGGTGAATTAAAGCATCTATACTGTGATTATAGATTTGAAGACGCAAAAACTACATCGTACCAGTACCACCATTTCAACACTTCTGTCACACCTAATTTGCCACATAAAAGAATGGAGTGAAGAGCATAAAAAGGTTCCTAGCTCAAAAAGCAGTGCATAATAAAAAGCAACAATGGGGCTGAAGCTGCAATAAATTTTAGATTGGAGGTCTGAAGTTGATTTTTCAAGCTTTATTCCCTCAAGTCAGAATTATTGAGCTGATATGCAGATTATAACAATTTTCAGATACCGTAGTACATGTACTTTGAAAGTCATAGTCCCACTTTTCTCTAAGTGATCGACGTAGACAACTGCACACATCTCCAATGCTACAAAGTTTGGCTGTAGAATTCAATAATGTCTGAATCCAGACTGGGATGAGGACGTTGCTGGCTAGGCAACATTTATTGCCCATCCCTAATTACCCAGATGGCAGGTAAGAGTCAACCACATTGCTGTGGGTCTGGAGAACCATGTAGGCTAGACCAGGTAAGGATGGCAGTTTTCTTCCCTAAAGGACATTAGTGAACCAGATGGGTTTTTCCACCGATCAACAATAGATTCACGGTCATCATTAGATTCTTAATTTCAGATATTTATTGAATTCAAATTCCACTAACTGCCATGGCGGTATTCACACCTGGGTTCCAGAATGTTACCTGGGTCTCTGGATTAACAGTCCAGCAACAATACCATTAGGCCATCGCCTGCCCTATGATTGTAATGGACGATTGTAATGCACAATTAACTTGCACCTATTTCAACATGCAAACTTCAGACCAATCAAAAGAACGTAGGTTACAGGCAGGATTAAATGTGCTACTGAATGGCTGCAAGCCGAGCAGCAAATTTGTTAGACACAATCAGGAGCTCAAATTAGTTTGAGCTATTTAAAGTCATTGGTCTCTAATGAAAGGTACATTATTGTTTAAGGATGTGCTGAAAGCAACCGTTAGAGTTTTACCTGGGAGTGGGGGGTGGGGAAACAACATTGAACCAAAGCAGACTTTAAGATTTTCTAGAGTGCACAGGAAGTGGAGGAGTTGGAGAGCAAGAGAAATATCCACAAGAGTCTGTCTAGACAAAATCTTGCACATTTCAATAAGATTATGTTGCATTCTCCAATTTCCAACTATTCAAACAACATAAATCTGTGCCTCTAATGACTTAATGCAAACAACATTAAAAACTACTAAAGAAGATCAGCTAGTATTCATCATATAATGTGATGAATCACCTAATGTGTAGCAATGATCCTCTGAATACTGTTTGTGGTTTTTTTGCCGATTTTGTCTTTAAATCCAACCGTTCAGGATCATCAAAAGAAACCTATATGCAAGAAATAAAAGAAATTCACATTCTGCCAGTGACTAAGATTGTACATTATACTATAGACATCTCATTGAACTCTCATTCTACAATTAATCTAATAAATGTAAAATTAAAGTGCAAAATCCAGTAATTAATATTACAGGTTACAACAAGAAAAAGTAATCAAAGCACACAATCAATTAAAATGTTTTTAACATGAAAATTAAAATACATACTTCTCCAAGGATAATTATATACTTGTTGCACTATGTGGCATCTCGCTTCATTGCCTGGCACCATAGGCTTATATACAGAAAGTGTTAGGCATGTAGGTGTAAAAGTACGGAAGTTTGGGTGAATATTATAATCAAAACAAAACAGGAACAGGAACCTAATTCTAATAGCAACTAATGAAAAGTTATCATTATTGTTGCTTTTGGTTTCAGCAATTCTCATGCTGGCTTTTGGAAAATGAACTCCTAACTTTTTTAGCAGCTATTCCACAAAAGTTATAACTAATTTATGGTATCCGATTGTACAACTGAAAAATAGATGACTTTGCCATACCACATTTATATTGCTGATCATAATTTATCAAAAATAACAAGACTTGTTACAAAGAACCAGTTAGGAAGGCATTTTAAAGGAACATTCATAAAAGCATAGTACTTTTTTAAAAAATACACTCACAGAATAAGGGCATCACTGGGAAGGCCAGTGTTTATTGTCCAGCCCTAAATGCCTTTGAGAAAGTGGAGGTAAATTGCCTTCTTGAATGCAAATTGGAGGCCTGCTAGACGATTTCAGAGCACTGCCAAGAGTGATCACATTGTGTGGATCTGGAGTCATACGTAACCCAGATCAGCAAAGGACAAGAGGTTTCATCCTTTAAATGCATTTTTGAAACAACAACAATCTTGAAGATTCACTGTCACTATAATCCATAGTGAGCTTTTATGTCAGGGTTATTTAATTAACAGGATTTTGATTCTTCGTCTAGAGTTGCTAGGATTTGACATGTCATTGGACCATTAGTCCAGATCTCTGGATTTCTAGCCCAGTAGCACACACTACATTACACAATTCTACTGCAAGAATTGCAAGATCTTTAACTTGGGGTCATTAAACTATGGGTCATAGGAGTGTAGAAGGAGAAGATGACCGCTCAATAGAGTCGTGCAAGAGAACGTAAAGAAGATCCAATAATTTATTACCCCATGCAATATAATGAAAATTAATGAAAATAGCAATGTTGCACTATGGTCTTCGACACATTAAGAGGACAGATCTACCGAGGCTGCCTGTTCCCTAAAGGCCAACATGTTAATGAGCCATTACTTTGCACCAGCATTTCTTCCTGTATGAAAGTACTATCAAGCAAAGTAGCCTGAAGTAAATTACAAACTAATTGTTGCTGTTTGGGGAAGAACATACATTGCACATAAAAATAATGAAGAATGTTACAATTGTATGTTCTCTCACATACAGACGAAGGAACAAAGTAGTTAATCAGCCCCTCAAGCCTGTGTTGTAACTTTATTATGTCATAGCTGGTCAGTACCACAGCTGACTTTGGTCCATATACTTCAACACTGTAACTTCACAATAATTCAGTCTTGAAAACTTCAACGGACCAAACATCCACATCAGTTTCAAGGTTCAAAGTTCTATTTGTGGGGAAAGAAAAAGCTTTGTGATTTAATGCCCAAGATCATCATCATTGTTGTAAACTCCCCAAAAAGGAAATAATTACCTTATCTTTCCTCTTATGGAATCTCTTCATTTTGAGAAATGCTGATTAGATCACCTCTCAAGATTCTAAACTTATGGAAATGCAATGCAAGTTTATGCAACTTGGCCTCTTGGCATAATCTTTATACTCTGGTGTTTTTTCTGGGAATGTGTAAAGTACCTATTCTATGGATGATGCAGTGCCCAAAACGGAATACAGCACTTTACATTAGTCCGAGTTTCTGACCAAATGAAGCAGATCATCTTCCACTCCAGCCCTCTCAAGATAATGACTACCATTCACTTTTACATTGGTTTTTGAACACATGCACAAACTTTAACGATGGAGATTTAAATCCCTTCACTCCTCCAGACAGCTGGTATATCTCCATTTGGAAAATAGTCCAATTGGTCTGTCTTGGATTTAATTTGATGACTTCACATTTTGTCTCATTGAACACTATTTGTCATATTTTCATTCACTCTCAGTCTGTCCATGTCTGCTTGCAACTTCTAGTTTCATCAATACAACTTGGTATGCCTCCTGTGGCATGTCTTCTTGTCAAAAAGAATTTTCTCTGTTATTTGCTCCAAAACAACCAGTTTTTTTTTGTTGTGAGAATCAGTTTACACAATCTAATGGCTGGCCAATCATTGCTGCACTGATAGCCTTCATCCACCTTCTTTTCATAAGCGTTTGGCTGTCGTTTGCTTACTGTGGGCACCCTACCTGACCAGTTGTGTTCATAGAATCATACAGTACCAGAAGTAATCTGTGTTATCAATATGTGAGTCGATCACAGACATATGGATTGGAGGAATGTTGCAATTAACAGCCAGGTGTGTAAGAATTTTATGAAACGTGAACAAAAATTACTGGAACAGCAAATTGCCTGATTTAACTTGACAACAACTAAGCAAATTCGATTAAGTTCTACCTTTTTTTGTTTCTGCAAGGGCTCTTCAACGTTGCTAATGTCAACAGTTTCCTTGCTATCTCCATCTCCCTTTTCTTTTCCATCCAATTCATCTTCACCTGGGATTGGACCATTTTCACATATAGGTGTTTGAAAGTCATCATCGGGCAATGGCGGGTAGCTATATTTAAAAGGATCCTTAGAAGAGGGAGTTACATTAAGATCAGTTTTACTTGGAGAGTCAAAACATGCAAATGTTGTTGAAAACCCCTAAGTCTTTCAGTGTTAGATAACTGGTGGAAAATAAATTAATTTTCTCATTCATTCTATTATAGATAGTAGCACAAATGCTAACAGTTTAAAAGCTACAGAATGTGCATTTTAATTTTCAGAGTAAAATGTGAATCGAAACAACGACTTTATGTATCAGCTGACTGCCAAACATCCAATACCTTAAGTGGTCATCTATTTTTACTGCAGTCAACACTAGAAATGTATATATTGGAAAACAAACTTCTTTTTTTTCATGAAGGACAGCAACAGTTTAGTGAATCAACTGCAGCCTTAGGAAAGCTCAAATGAAGGCAATATCTCATAAGTGTTGGCAAAGACTAATAGCAGCTCAGGGATATGACTGCATGCAAGTTCAATCAATACTGCAATACTAGTCACCACAGCTTGAGAGAACATGACAAGAAACAACACAATCCAGTGAGACCGCTCTCCCAATTTCAGCACTAGCACCCAGGTGTTAGTGAGGAGACTTTGCAAGGTCAAAAAAGCTATTTCTATCATTGTCTTTTCTGGTGCTTAGGTGGTCTGTCCAGTTTCATTTTTTTGTTGAGACTCTGCAGCAATTGATACGGCTTGCTAGGCCATTTCAGAGGGAAGCTGAAAGTGAACCATATTATTGTGGCTCTGGAGGCCAGACCTGGTGAGTACGGCAGATTTCCTTCACCGAAGGACATTAGTGATTATTCTACTACTAACATATTGAAGTGGTGGACACAATTTGCTCTTTAGAAGGATACAACTTACAATTCCTCCCATGTGTGCTGGCAAATATTCTGTATTTATATATTCCTGCACATCAGCCTTGTTGGTAAATTTCAACATATTCACAGCATCTGGTCCCAGCCATGATTTTACAATCTTCCAAGCAGCTAAGAACAACAAACAACAAAAAACAAAACAAAATCCAACAATCACAAATTTCTATTTGTTCATTTGGCCAAAGAAACTCATGATTTAAAAGAGTTAACATTCCTTACCGTTCATTAACCATGGCATTTCATAGATGACCATTTTTGCTGCAACATGAAAAAATGTTTTCAAATGCAGAAACTACAAAATAATCCTTTCAAAAGTTTACATCATAAACCTTTAAGCAATCTGATCAATAAGCTGAATATATAACATCATTAATTAGTCTGCCAACATCAGCTTTATTTGAAACAGTTCCTACCTTTTCAAAACTTTACAGTCAAAAACAGATCCATTATGAACCTTTCAACAAAATCACTCAAATCAAGCTATGCAATTATGCATGGGTAATAAAGACAGCCCAGGAGTTAGATCTGCACAGGCAAAATGTACCATATATTGTGCCTTCATGTTTTGACAGATACTGCATTCCAAACCAATCAGCCTATTTATGAAGTCAGGCTCTTGTTTTGCCACAGAAAACAAAGTTGCTGTTAAACTAGAATTTGAAGGGTTTACAGCATGCTTTCAAGGAGCACTATTTCAGTACAATTTAATAAGACACTCTGTCAGTTTGATTTATTTGGAGAGAGGAAAAAAATGGAAGCCAACATGATATACTAGGTACATTATTTCTATTTTGGTTTTCCTCCCACATTTGGAGATTGAAGATTGCTGCAAATGCTTCAGCCTTATCTTTTGCACTGATGTTGTGGGCTCTTCCATCGAGGATGGGGATATTTGTGGAGCCTCCTTCTCCAGTGAATTGTTTAATTGCCTACCACCATTCACAACTGGATGTAGCTGGACTGTTTGGTGGCTTCAAGTTGACACCTCATCTTCAGGTATGCCTGGTGCTGATCCTGGCATGCCCTCCTGCACTCTCCATTGAACCAGGGTTGATCCCCTGGCTTTATGGTAACAGTTTAAGTGGGGGGGATATGCTGGGCCATGAGGTTACAGATTGCGCTGGAGTACAATTCTGCTGCAGTTGACAGTCCACAGTGCCTCTTGGATGCCCTGCCTTGAGTTGCTAGATCTGTGCAAAGTCTGTCCCATTTAGCACGGTGATACTACTACGCAACACAGTGGAAGTTATTCTCAATGTGAAGGTGGGACTTCGTCTCCACAAGGACTGTGCAATGGTCACGCTTACTGATACTGTCATGGACAGATGCAACTGCAGCTGGCAGATTGGTAAGGATGAGGTCAGGTATGCTTTTCCATCTTGTTGGTTCCCTCACCACCTGCCGCAGACCCAGTCTAGCAGCCGTTTCCTTGAGGACGCAACCAGCTCGATCTGTAGTACTGCTGCCCAGCTACTCTTGGTGGTAGACATTAAAATGCCCCACCCAGAGTACATTTTGTGTCCTTACCATCCTCATTGCTTCCTCCAAGTGTTGTTCAACATGGAGGGGTACCGATTTATCAGCTGAGGGAGGACGGTATGTGGTAATCAGCAGAAGGTTTCCTTGCCCATGTTTAACCAGAAGCCACGAGACTTCATGGGGTCCTGAGTCAATGTTGAGGAATCCCACAGCAACTCCCTCCCCACTGTATACCACTGTGTCACCACCGCTGCTGGGTCTGTCCTGCCAGTGGGACAGGACATATTGAGGGATGGTGATAATGGTGTCTGGGACATTGTCTGTAAGGTATGATTCTGTGAGTATGACTGTGTCAGGCTATTGCTTGACCAGTCTGTGAGACAGCTCTCCCAATTTTGGCACTAGCCCCCAGATGTTACTGAGGAGGACTTTGCAGGGTCAACAGGGCTGTTTCCACCATTGTATTTTCCAGGCCTAGGTCGATGCCAGGTGATCCATCTAGTTTCACTTCTGAGGCTTTGTAGCGATTGGAACAACCGAATGGCTTGCTAGGCCATTTCAGAGGGCATTTGAGAGTCAACCACATTGCTGTCGGTCTGGAGTCACATATAGGCCAGATCAGGTGAGGATAGCAGACTTCCTTCCCTGAAGGACATGAGTAAACCAGGCACATTTTTCCAACAATCGACAATGATTTCATGGTGATCTGTAGATTCTTAATTCCAGACTTATTTTTTTAATTGAATTGAAATTCCACCATCTGCCATGATGGAATTCGAACCTGGGTCCCCAGAACATTAGTCTAGCAATAATACCACTAGGCCATCGCCTCCTCCCGCCTACTAAATGCTCTCCTATTAACCCTTTATAATAGACTAACATTTCCACAATGACAGGTGATGTCAATTGGCCTTGTTTTTGACTCACTACCATTTTCAACAAGGGTATTCCATGGGCTGGTCTCCAATTTTCGGAATCTAAGAATTACTTGAAGATCACTATCAGTACATCCACTATCTCTGTAGACACTTCCTTAAATATCCTAAGATGCAACTCATCAAGACTAGTGACTTAACAGTCTTTAGCCCCATTAATTTCCCGAATACTTTTCCTCCAATGATAATTATTCATTGAATCCCTACAGAGTGGAAACAGGTCCTTCAGCCCAACAAGTCCACACCGACCCTTACAGCATCCCACCCAGACTCACCCTGCATAACCCACCAAATCTACACATTCTCTGAACACTATGGGCAATTTAGCATAGCTAATCCACGTAGCCTGCACATCTTCGGACTGTGGGAGGAAACCGGAGCATTCGGAGGAAACCCACGCAGACACAGGGAGAATGTGCAAACTCCACACAGACAATCGCCTGCAGGTGGAAAAAAACCCAGGTCCCTGGCGCTGTGAGGCATCTGTGCTAACCACTGAGCCACAGTGCCATTATATTCCTTTGCCGTTATATTACATTCCTTTCCAACTCCACCCCCTTCCCCTTCTTCCTTTCGCCCCTTAGTTATTCATGATTTTGACACGCTATTTGTGTCTTCTATTATGAAGAGTAAAGCAAAGCATATACTTAACTCTTTGCAGACCACTGTACTAGACCATAAATTGTGGTTAACATTGATAGAAACAAGAGTACACATTTTGATATTCAATAATTTAAAGCAGAAAACAGAATTGAGCTGATGACTGACGAATTCATCTCAAATTGTAAGTAAGGTGATACCAGATCAATAAATACATTAGCTACAAAGAAACAGGGAAATGATGAACTGTACTTACAAAGGTACTTAGGATAATAGATCTTAAAGCAGTTGATGATGAACTTCACAAAGTCCAGATCCTAGAATTTTTTTAAAGAAATATAAATAGACTGCAGTTTGATTTTCTTTTTGAAAATGCCACATTGTAACAATGGAAAAAAAAACTTTCAAACTTGTTTGCATTTCTATTTGTAGAACACCAAACAAATTCATTGTCTACCTATCAACAAACTCCAATACCCACAACTATTTAGTAAGACTACTGAAATTTAAAATTAGTGACCTGATTTTCAACCCAATCTGTCAGCTGCTGCTTAAAAAATACATGTTCTGGATGCATGACGACAACAGAAATAAAACTGAGTGATAAAACAACCTGTGGGCAAAGCAATTAGCAATACCAAGCAAAGTAAGCATGGTTATGAGAAACTACTTGCAAAACCAAATCAAAAAATGGTGGACATAACTACTTGGGATGAATTAGGGAAAATAAAAAAAGCAAATTTTCCCCTACTTATTAGTATTATCCACCGAGTTGGGAATGTCAGGAGATATGATGGAAAGCAAGACTTTTCTGAATAGTATGCCAGCTTCATACATCAAGCAATGTGCGTGGATGGTTAATTCTCTGATGTTAGTAATCCATTTCTTTTTCTTATAAAGTGATGTTCAATACTAGATTAATAAAGCCATAGAAATATTTATTATAATGGGAATATTTGCACTCAAGATTTGCTTTTTGCCAGTGTAACGCACATTGCAAAGTCTCACGAACCATCTGATGAAGACCAGTTTTGTTGACTGAGGGATAAATATTGGTCAGCAAACCAGAATTCCCCTGTTTTTCAAAACAGTATTATAGGATTTTCACAGTCAACAGAAAGGGCAGGTGTGGTTTTAGTTTAATGTTTCGATCAAAAGAGGGGATTTACAACCATGCCACATATCCTCAGTACTGCTGAGATAATGGATTATGGGCTTAAATGTTTGGAGAACAACCGTTAACTCAAAAACAAGTATGCTAACATTGAACCAAGGCTGACACATTAACTCAAAGAATTTGTTAAGCTATTCGATGCTATAGAATATAAATTCCTCTGCCTTTTTATGTTTCCATACTAGTAAAAAGAATCAACAACAAACTGCCAAACGAGAATCAAATGTGCCCTGAATATAGTGACAGCATCCCTTCTCCTTGTAAGAGAGGCAGCTTCACTTGCCACCTCAGCAGGATTGCATTACATGAGGGCCTTAAGTTTAGTAGTATTTCAAGGTGTAACACAACATCAATAATTAATTTTCAACTTTTTAAGAACAAACTGGAAACCAACAAGTGGTTTGAGTTCTTTCTCTAAAAAAAATGTTAGAATATTTTAGTTCAAATTATCAATTTATAGGTCAATTAATTGGTAATTAAATGGAATTGACACAGCTAAGATAGGCATAACCCAAGACGGAAAAAATCTCTAAACGTAGGCTGTAAGCAATCCTTCTCAGATGCAGAAAGAAAGGGATGGAGAAATCTTACTATATTGCTTAATCCAGTCTCAGTCAGATCAAACACCACCGTCAGAGGTTTTCCTTGTTCTCTTTTTGCGTAACGTTCTAACCAGAAGGCTACATACTTCTTTTTATCCAAAGCTGTCTTTGCATCCTTGACGTGTAACTTTACTCGAAACCAAACTGCAAGACAGAATAAAAAAGATTATGAATTCTTAATTGATTATAGCTGCATGAATCAAGTCAACAATGTTATTCCCTCTTGTATCACTGAACTTTGGGGGCAACATTGTTCACTCTTCAAAGGAGTCACACAAGTAACTCATAAGAAATGTAAGTAAAAATTCATCCTTTGGCATTTTGTTTGTTTATGCATTCAATCGTGCATACCATCACCCAAAATAATTGCCTGGAAGGACATATCAGGGAAATGCTCATCAACAAAAAGTCATTGGAAAAGAATGTATCTCCACTGATCCACTTAGTTCAAAATTAGTTCAGTAGCCTAGCATGATGATGCTGAGTAACTGCTGCAAGCTGTAATATTTAGTTTGACAGATAGAAAAGAAGACAACAGAAGTCTGATTTTTGCCAGAGGAATAACAATGAAGTCATCCGTGCTCAATGTTATTGAGTAACTTGAACATCAAATTCCCACATCCTATATACAAGTAAATGGTGGATTTACTAATTTAATATTTAATTTAGCGCCAGCACAGTAGTTCAGTGGTTAGTACTGGTGCCTCACAGCACCAGCGACCCAGGTCCGATTCCAGCCTCAGGTGACTGTCTGTGGAGTTTGCACATTCTCCCAGTGTCTGCATGGGTTTCCTCCCGCAGTCCAAAGATGTGCAGGTTAGGGTGGATTGGCCGCGCTAAATTGCCTAGTGTCCAGGGATTTGTATGCTAAGTGGATTAGCAGTGGGAAACGCAGGGTTGCAGTGATAGCGTAGGTGGGTGGGTCTGGGTGGGATGCTCTTCAGAAGGTTGGTGTGGACTCGATAGACCGAATGGCCTGCTCCCACACTGTACGGATACTATGATAATATCTGGTTTTCCTCTGCTCCATGAGTACCAAACATTTCAGCTTTCAAAGACATGAAGGGCATGACAATACAGCGTACACAATAAATACACCAAAAAAAGTAGTTGTATTGAAATTGAGGTTAATTTTTAAAAATGAAATCAGTTATAATTACTGGCAAATAGCCTTGTTATTGAAAGTTTACTTCTAGGAGTCTGGTGGCTTATTCCCTCATATTTGCATTATGGTTCAAGATTTTGAGAAAAAAACTGTTTTGTTCTTTTCCTTTTGTCCCATTGCTCAATTCTATCTTGTTTTATTTTGTTTTATTTTCTGCACATATTACACAAATCACTTCCTGGTTTAGGGTCTGCATGTGTAACTGTAGATTCTTGAAATGAATTGCTTGCCCTCCTCATGGATGTCTCAGAACTCCTGAACAGGACACTGGACAGAACTCGATTAACTACTGCAAAAGGCTGCGGGGAGAAAAAAAGTCTTTGACCACCTGTAGACATAATAAACAGCGAGCATAATTCCTTTGCCACTGACTGTAAAATCCAGCCCCAATGTATTGCTTACACGACACCAAATTTCTTCTGGAGAAGTGCCTTAAAATAAAAATTGCAGGAATGAGACAAATTGAGCAATGTACCTATTGAAATTGAAATTAAAATTAATGGGTGACTTTGGGTAAATTTATACTAAATGTTTTCAGTATCAACATGCTCAGCCCTGAGGGATTTAGTGTGCTTTGCCAGTAGGACGTGCAAAGTTTCCTAATCACTTGCATTTGCCATTGAAATCTAGTCTGCAAATTGAGAAAGTCTAGTCATGAGACATGCTAGAAGTTAATTATGCTGACCCTCATTAAGTCAAAATAAATTAAGCACTTGCAGCAGATTGCTCAAAAGCACTGTAGGACATGACCTACAACCTAAGTTTGTTAGCCTTTAAACAATGTGAGTCATCACTAAACTCCAAGCAGGAGTCAAATCATTTGAACAAAGCAGAAGTGGATTTGCAGCAACCATTCCCCAATATTACATTACCACTACAAAAATTTTAAGAACATTTTCTATTCACACATTCCCAGGAAAATATTTTACTTCAAGGGTTGCACTTTTTGGCTAAAAAAGGAGATAGTTTTGTAGAAGTTATTGCTCTTAATACCATGCTACCAGACCCTGCATTGGCTCCTTTTAGCATCCAGGTGCCTTCATGCAGAGGTCTGCTTGTCACTTCTAAATATTAAATAATGTTGAGTGTTAACAGGATCACATCTCCAACATATAACATCTAAAAATAAAGGTTCTCAAACAACCCAGTAGACTTGGCTTTAGACAATCATACAGCAGTCAGTGAAAATGGCTTGCATTTCTATAGTTCCTCTCAATGAAGCACTTTTGAAGTGTACAATTATATAACAAGTGGCATCCAATTTAAACATAACAACATCCCCAAAAATAAACTGCTAATGACTAGATAATCTATTTCAATGACATCGATTGAGAGAAATTATTGACCAAGACAACAGTTCAAATTAGTGCCCTGGGATGATTCACAATGAGCTAAGAGGGCAAATAAGATCTTGGTTTTCCATCCAACCCGAAAGATGTCTTCTGCAAAATTGCAACACTCCCTCAGCACTGCACTGAATGTCGAACGAGATTTTTTAGATGTGAACCCACAATCATCTCAATCAAACAGTAAGCATGCTACAAAACTGAGCTAAGGCTAACACATGAATTGAAAAGAAATTCAAGGATAACAAAATTATTTACACCATCCGAAACAGTGCTGCTGACCATGGCTTCCTTCTTCCATAACCATGGTTTCCCACCCACTGTGATCGACAGGGCCCTCAACTGCATCTGATCGATCACTTGTTCTTCTGCCTTTGCCTCTTCCCATCACTCACAACAGCATGATAAGGCACCCCTTGTCCTCACCTTTCATCCCACCAGCCACCGCATTCAAAGGATCATCCTCTGCCATTTCAGGCAACTCCAGCAGAACAGCACCAAACACATCTTCACCTCACTCCTCCATCTGCATTTTACAAGGATCATTTCCTCCAGGACACCCGAGTCTACTCCTCGTCTAGCAACACCACTCCCTGCCATTTTCATGCAACTGCAGAAGGTGCAACACCCGCTCCTTCACCTCCTCCCTGCTCATCATCTAAGGGCCTAAACAGTCTTTCCAGGTGAAGCAGCATTTCGCCTGTATCTTCTTCAATCTAGTCTGTTGCATTCGCTGCACCCAGTGTGGCCTACTCTACATTGGCGAAAACGAATGCAGCCTGGGTGACCACTTTGTGCAACACCTTCAATCCGTGCGCAAGCAGGACCCTGACTTTCCCTTAGCCAGTCATTTTAACACAGCTTCCTGCTCGCATGCCCAGTTGTCTGTCCTCTGCATACTGCAGCGTTCCAATGAAAACAGTGCAAACAGGAGGAACAACCTCATCTTCAGACTAGGCATTTTACAACCTTGTGGACTTAATATTGTGAACCCATTCCCACTCCTTCCCTTTCTTTTAGCTTTACTGCTTGTATTCTCTGTCACTATGTCCTCTCTCCCTTCCCCCACCCCAGTGGGACTGATTTTCCCCCATCTGGCAGTTAGACACATCATTATTCTATCATTCTCACATTCCAATCACTTAAACTGCACTATCTACACCCTTTCTCTCCCAGCACTCCACTCCACCCCCGCCAACTACTGCATAAATGCTGTCCCCTCCACACTTCATGTCAGCTCTGATGAAGAGTCATCTAGACTCGAAATGTGTTCTTTGGTCTGCCCGAAACTTGTCTGTCTTCCAGAATAAGGAGTTGATCCTGAATGAGTGTTGCAGACTGGCACATTCCAAGGTCTAGGACTATGTGTTGAGGGAGGAACCAAAGCTTGGGGCAGCAGTTACACAGATGCAGTGGGGAAAGATCACTGTCTGAGCTCTTCCTGCTGAAGGTAAATGGGGGGTCCATTCAGTTATCAGAGCCTCCTCGTGCCTCAAATATATGTAAATATTAGTATTGTATGTGTAAGAGAGGTCATTGGTTTTTTTGGTTAGAGTCAAATTCCAACATTTTGTTTATTTACTTGATATGTAACTGTACAGAAGCAAATTGTATATATACAACTTTGTCACGAAAACAAACAGATTTTACATGAATAAAGTATATCCTTGAAATAAATAAAGTTAGCTTGCTGTCTCTCCATGAATGCTGCCTGACTATTGTGATCTCTAGCATTTTTTGTTTTCAGTACAGATTCCAGCATCTGCAGTCATTTGCTCCTGACTACAGATCTTGATTATCTGCTTGGTACCAAAGTACCCTTTTTTCAAGGCAAATCAGTTGAGTGTCTACTGTAGGTTTGAGCTTTCAAATTATGTTATAAAAGGCAATTCATGCGCTTAAGAAAAACTTAATGCCCATTTTATGAATTGGATAACATCCTGGAATTAGTGAGCCATGGACAGAGTTATTTTTCATGTTACTTGTACAGAGCTGAAGCAAGAAAAAAATCAACCAAAAACAAAATATTAGAAAAATATCATATCACAATTCCTGAGCACCAGAAAAAAGTAATGAATTCTACATGATCCTAAATGTTACCAAGAACAATATCGCCATGCACTGATCTCTCATGTCTTTCATTTTCGATGCAATAAATCATATGCGATTAAGAGATACGCTGAGAGCAGACACCACGTAAAGTGAATGACAGTGGTGACAATCTAAATCTACAATGTCATAGGAGAGAGGAATTAAGGAGCAATTCAGTGATCATTCACCATCTTTAATAGTTAGAAGGGCTATGTTTATCTTTTAAACAGACATAGATCAAACATGTTACATGAACACCGCTTAAAAACATAACACACCTGGGAACACATTGATCACAAAAGGCCACACAAAGCAGGTTCAACAAAGAATTGTACATGCGGTGGAACCACTTTAGAAAGGGGTCACTGACTGTATTTAAAGTCAAAGGGATAATATCAAAAGTTCATGGCACCACATAAGCATTGTGATGTAGTTCTGAATTCACAGCCATTTCATTTTAAAAGATGCAGAACTGTGGAGTCAATGATTGCTACAAAGTTCTAGCATAGTATGGAGTGCAAAATGGCCATCTCATGCATTATAAATCTCTATTATCTTAGTCTGTGGTTTGGATCAGTCTGATAGACAAAAACTTTCATTAAAGTAATTCCTCCAATGTACTGCAAAGCTCAATATTGTATCAAAGCCAGGAATGGCAAATTTATTCATCAAATCAGGGGCGCACGGTGGCTCAGTGGTTAGCACTGCTGCCTCACAGCACCAGGGACACGGGTTCGATTCCAGCCTCAGGACGACTGTCTGTATGGAGTTTGCACATTCTCCCTGTGTCTGTGCGGGTTTCCTCCAGGTGCTCCGGTTTCCTCCCACAGTCCGAAGATGTGCAGGGTAGGTGGATTGGCCATGCTAAACTGCCCATAGTGCCCAGGGATGTTTAGCTTAGGTGGGTTAGACAAGGGAAATGCAGGGGTGGGGGAACTGGTCTGAGTGGGATGCTCTTCGGAGGGGCGGTGTGGACTTGTTGGACCGAATGGCCTGTTTCCACAGTGTAGGCTTTCTATAATTCTAATGATTTAAAGACTACTTAAGTTCAGGGGTATGTGACTCTTTGAAAGGACAGGCAGGAAAGAAAGGGTTATAGGGTAGCATCATTAGTACAGGATGGAATGAATACAATAACAAGAAATAATCTTGGATCGGAAGCCACAGAATCTATTTGGGTGGAGGCAAGAAATAAAAAGGAGAAGACAACATTGGTAGGAATAGATGAAAGCTCCCTTACAGTTGCTACACGGTGGGACATAGTAAATCAGGTGAAAATGGGGAAAAACAAAACTGTACATTAAATCATGGGTGACTTTAATCTTCATGTCGATTGGGATAGTCAGATTGGCGGGAGTAGTCACAGGAAAAATTCAGGAATGTGTACAGACAGTTTCCTAGAATAATATGTTGCAGATCAAATCAAGAATTGGGCTATTTTGGATTGATCTGTAATGAGACAGGCTTAAGTTACATCAGAGTAGAAGATCTCCTCGGGAATAGTGACCATAACATGGTAGAATTTAGAACAAATATACAATGTGACAAAGATTAGTGGTCTGCCAGAGGATTGGAAAAGTTTTAAAAAACAACAAAATAAAGAGGGAGAAGATAAACTTTGACAGAAAACTTGCAACTTTTATCAAGATGGATAATGGTCAAGGGGTTGTTTAAATATTTGAAAGGGAAGAGAGTGGCATAAGTTAACAGACCCCTTACAGAACAAGGCTGGAGAAATAATAATGGGGAGCCAAGAAAATGCAGTGGAGTTCAATGAATACTTTGCATCAGTCTTTACAGTAGAAGACATTAATAGCATTCCAAAATTGATAAATAATCAAGATGCAAGAGAAGATGCAAGTAGAAACAAAAACAGAAGTTGCTGGAAAAGCTCAGTAGGTCCCAGATCTGCTTTACAGCATCTGCAGTTCTTTGGATTTTTATTGAGGATACAGGTAGTTCTGGTATAATGTGTGTTTCATTAACACGAATTGGCTGTAATGCGATTGATGAATAGTGGATATTGTTTAGGTAATGCAAATTTTCTGCTGTATAATTATAGCGATTTTCTATATCGGTTTCCATATAACACTATTTTCCATCGCGATTTTCTATAGCGCAAGATCAAACAACACAACTATTGCGTTATAGGAAATCTACCTGTAGGTATTGTTACAGTAATAATCACGACAGATAAAATGCCAGGGCAGATGACCTATATGTCCCATGGATCTAATGGGATGAACCCTAGGATATTAAAAGATGTGGCTACAGAGATCACGGGTGGACTTGGAGTAACCTTCTCAGAATCCTTAGATTCTAGAAAAGTCCCATAGGATTTCTCAACTTAGCCATTCTTTTTATGAAGTTAAGGAGGCAAACGACCAGTTAGTTTAACAACTTATCGCAAAAATGTTAAGAGTCTAATATAATGAATGTAATTGCAGAGCATTCAGCAATACATACAATCAAACAAAACCAACATGGCTTCACAAAGAGGAAATCATGCCTGAAAATTAATTAGATATCTTTGAGGTGGTAACAACCAGGACAGATAAAGGGGAAGCAGTAAATATAATGTATTTGAATTTTCAGAAGGCTTTTGATAAGGTACCACATGTTAAGCTACTTAAGAGCCCATGGTATTGGAGGAAGTATATTAGCATGGATAGCAGATTATCTTCTACTAGTTAGTTAGTTAAAGAGTTGGGATAAGGGGGCATTTTCAAGATGGCAACCTGCAAATAGTGGAATGCAACAGGGGTAAGTGCTGGGGCCACATTATTTACAATACATTTCAATGAATTGAATGAGGCTGGAGAATGTTGCATAGCCGTGCTTGCGGACGACACAAAAATGGGTGGGAAGGCAAGTGGTGAGGATGACAGAGTCTGCAGAGGGACCTAGGCAGGTTAAACAAGTGGGCAAAAACTTGGCAGAATAAACAAGATATGGGACAACTGAGGCAGTCCAGACAAGGTTCACTCAGCTAATGCTGGGTATGGATGGACTGGCTTATGACGAGAGGTTAAGCTAGTTAGGCCTGTACTCATAGCAGTTTAGGAGAATGAGAGGCAATCTTATTAAAACACAAAAAAATGTTTAGGGCACCTAATAGGGTAAATATGGAAAGGTTATTTCCCCTTGTGGGAGAGTTCAGCACCAAAGGGCATAACTCAGAATAAAGGGATAGCCCATTTAAGACAGAGATAAAGAGGGATTTCTCTTCTCAGAGTGAAGTAATCTGTGGAATGCTTTACTGCGCAAGGGTGTCAAGTCTGGGTCAATAAGGTGGAGATAAACAGATTTTTTAATCAATAATGAATCCGAGGGTTATGGGGAAAACACACAAAATTGGAGATAATGACTACCAGATCAGCTATGATCTCACTGAATGGTCTACATCTGCTTCTATGCCTTATGAACTTACTTTCTGATAATTTCAAATTAGGCCTAAATAGATGACGGATTTTTCTGTGCTTCAAGAACTTGACTGAACAGAATGCTCAAAAAGCAGTTTGATCATTTTAGGATGTGTGAAAAAAACTCACGTAACACCAAATGAAAAGTCAGTTGCACACACAGTTCGTCCTTTGCCAAAGTCTGAAATAGCTCAGACTACTCATCCAATTGATTTGGCACAATTTAAATTCATGACTGCTTGTATGCATTTTCCACATCTAGTTTATAGCCCTAAAGGTACAGAAGGAAAATAAATACAAAAATTGGCTTGATGATAAGAAAGATGATAGTAATGGTTAACTGATGTTTTCCAGGCTGGGATAACATTTGTAATGAAGTTTCTCCAAAGTTGAGACCTTTGCTTTTCCTGACATATATTAACGATCTAGGCCTTGGTGTAGAGGGCACAATTTCAAAATTTGCAGATGATGCAAAGCTTGCAAGCATTGTAAACTGTGACAAAGATAGTGTTGAACTTCAAAAGGACAGAGAATTGGTGAACTGAATAGATAGGCAGTAATTGAAGTTCAAGCTGGCGAAGTGTAAGCCATGAACCCTGTATGTTGTGTGGTCAGAAAACTCTGCACATAGTTATCCTCTACTGGATAACTTTTTCTTCTATTTAAACATCCAACTACAGAACCCAGAAGTCTGTGTAGAAAGAACAAATTGTGGAAAACATTGAGTGGTGAGATACATGCAGGTAGAAAAAAAATGGCCTCAGCTGGAGTACTGCGTGCAGTTCCGGAATACTCTTCAGGAGGAACGCAAACGCATTTGAGACACACAAACGAGATTTATGAGAATACTCTGGGAATGAGAAATTTCAACTGTGAAGATAGCTTGAAGGAGCTGGTATTGCCATTCTTAGAAAAGGCTGGTGGAAGTCTGATCGAAATATTCAAAATCATTAGTTTTGGATAGAGCAAATAGAAAGAAAATATTTCTACTCAAGAAGGGTCAAGTAGTAATTAGTACAGCTTTAAAGCATTAATAAAAGAAGTAAAAAAGTGATTGTAAAAACTTTTGCTTCTCTCAGCAGTCAGCTGAATTATGAAATGCACTGTCTGAGAATATGTTGGAAGTCAATCAATGCCTTCAAAAGGAAAATGGATGCCAATTTGAAAAGGAAGAATAGACAAGGTTATACTGAGAAGACAGCAGAATGGCACTAAGTGAGACGCTCATTTAAAATCGAGGACAGAATAGGGGCCAAACAATCCTGCACTTGATTCTGTGGCAGGATGAACCAGCAAGCTATCTGCAATTAATCACTATAAAATCAAATGTTTACTTATATCAAAATTTAAGCATGTGTAGTTATCTAGAAAACAATGTTAGGAAAAAAAGTGTCATATTTCAACCTGCTTTCATTTAAATCAGATGATACAGGATCATCAAAATAATACTCAAATCAACAAAAGATGCAGCCAATTTTCCTTAAAAAAAACCCCCTAAGTTTGAGGGAAGTAAAACCTCCAGGATGAAGAATCAATTTTACAGATGGCCAGCCATGACATAGGACCAGATAACAAGCCATTTCACACCAAGTACGTTCCAACAAGATCAAGGGTCATCTGTATCTTAACTCCATTTACCTACCTAGTCTAAAAACTGTACGACAAAATAAACAAGTTTTAACTCACACATTTTGTTGCCTTCTTTATCATATCCATGAAGATAAACAGCTCCGGTTTCAAAAGTCCATTGAGGAAGGTTGGACTCACTTAAATCTGTCATACAAGTAGAAACAATCATACAAAAGCTTGATTTAAATTTTCACAAGAGCACTATATATATATCCCATGTGCTGACATTTGCTGAATACTTTGACAAAACATTGAAGCACATCTTTAAATTGAAAGCTCATGAAACTACTTTAGAAGAATACGATTCTTAAATGTGAACAACTTCATACCTATGCCGTGTTAGTTGGTGTCACCTTTACTACAATAACTGGAACCTTAATCTTTGCACTCAATAACTGTAACTTTGGTGGTGCCAGTTACTGTGGAAATATATTACCTGCATAAACTAAGCATTATCCTTCTACAAATCATTCACATTCTAAGTTGCCGATTTGCTTCATGCATTTCCTACATGTTGATTTTTAGTCAATATTAAGAACAGGGAGAGAGTATCATGGTTTCCTCCTGACCTCACCTCACCCACAGCCAACCCTCCAACTTTGTGCTGCTTGTTGAGGGGGAAACAAGCAACAGTTTCACTGCTTATTTACCTCATTGAAGCTTCCAGGGTCTTGCTACGTGCAGAATGGATACCATTTACCACTGAAAATAAATTTACTGCAATGATATGTTATAAGACATTTCCAAGGCATATAGTATGTTAGTCAGATGGTAAAAATTGCAAGCCTTTGTCTTCTCAATAAGATGTAGTCAGAACAAATGTCAGTATAGACAATTGATCTTGCAGCCAGGTTTAAGATATACTGAAAAGAATGGAGTAATTGTTATCCTACATATATTTCCATATTGGTAGCAACTTACCATGAACTGAAAATTCTTTTCTCCATTGAAAGCTGTCATCGATCATTTTCAACGTGTCATCCACATTGTGATGTCTCCACTGCAGATAACTCTCAAGCCAGCCATCATCTTGTTTTAGTCTTTCAACATCTCGGGAATCATATTTCTCAGTCTTGTCTGCAGAAAAAGACATTGCTATTAGAAGACTGAAGGAAACTTCCCAAAATACAATTATTGATTTTTGTTTGCTTTGTCTCTGTATTTTTAACAAAGTGCAGCAACAACCAACAGGCATCCTCTATTCTGAAACATTGTAGCTAAGATCAAACAACCCTCACTCATCTGTTATTCAAATTCATAATCTACCTAGGTCAAAAAATTTGCTTGGAATTTCCTCCTTCCCCAATTTTATAGACAATCTCAGAGCGCTCAAGATATCAGATGCAGATAAAATCATGCATGTAAAAACAGATTAAAAACTATTCCTTAAAGTACCAGTGGTTAAAATATATTAGGATTATTCAAGGTTTGTCACAAAAGTGCAGGCTTCAAAGATGGCTGTTGAATACATCAAGCTCATTGGATACTTTAGCTGGGTTTTCACAGGAGTGAAGCAGAAACTAATACTGGAGCCAGTCGAAGAAAGTTTCCAAAATAAAATGAACTGGCAATATTCAAACTGTATGCATTAATCAAAGTCAACAGAGTAAACTATATACAAGTTTCTTTTGTTTATCATGTTTGATGTAGACTTCCAGTAAGATGGCAGCAAAGTAGGATGCTTCAGCTGGAGCTCTGCTCTGCCCGTTCTTTTCTCCCTCTTTTCCTCCTTTCTCTCGGACTCGGACTCCCCTCTGGCCTCCGAAGCATGGATGGCAGTCAGTGGCCCAAAGCAAGGATGCCAGCGACCAGCAGCCCTGTGTGGACTGGCAGCGGCAGTCTAGTGCGGTGTGTGGTGGCAGACCTGTGGAGGCCCCCTGTGCTGGTCTGCCGCGGAAGCCCTTGGAGACAGGCTGTGACGGTTGTCTTTTTAACTTCTGGTTTCTATGACATTCTGACCTACGGTTATACCGTGTATTGCTGTAATCAACTTTTTTGGTCATTTCTCTATTCTATAACAAAGGATTGTACCTAGGTACTTTGTACTTAGGTCACCATTTATAGTGCCATCCTATCAGCTTTTCACTGTACTCATTTGACAATAAAGCTAATTCAATTTAAAATTTTGCAATCTCAATTCCAATTCATCAACTGGTGGTCACTGATGCAAGAGACATCAAAATCACTAAGCAATTTTATAGTTACATAAAGAGAGAGCAGATGGGCAGCAGCAATGTTGGCCTGCTAAAGACTGAAGGTAGAACTATTGTCAATTACTATGAGGAAATGGTAGGCACACTGAATAATTACTTTGCCTCAGTACTTATAGTAGATTAGATTGCCAGAGGTCTCAAGGAAATTAATAATGAGTCAGAAACTGAGGCTGCATAAGTAAAACATTGGTGATGAGGAACTTAATAAAATTAGAGACAAATCTCTAAGATCTGACGGTTTCCATTTGATGGTGTTAAAGGAAGTAGCTAGCACATTGTAGACAACCTATCTATAATCTTTCAGAGTTCCCTGGATACAGGGGGTGTCCATCTGGATCAGAAAACTGCACGTCACTCTACTTTTTAAGAAAAGCGAAAGAGGAAAACCAGAGAATTACAGATCAATGAGCCTAACATCTACGGTGGGTAAATTGTTCTAATATATGACCAAGGGTTGGGTAACTGAACACCTTGAAAATTTTCAGTTAGTCAGGGTGAGCAGCATGGATTCATGACAGCAGGTATGCCCGACAAACCTCATCAAATTTTTTTGAAAAGGTGATTGAAGTAGTCGACAGGGAAACGTCTATGGAAGTTGTGTGTATGGACTTAAAAAAGGCATTTGCTCAAGTTTCACATAAGAGACAGTTAACGAAGGTATAAGCCCATGAAATTGAGGGCAAATTACTGATATGGTTGGGAAACTGGTTGAGTGCAGGTGACAGAAAGTAGGGATATTGGCTAGGTACTCAAAATTGACAGGGTGTGACCAGCAGTGTCCCGTAAGGATCTGTGTTAGGCTCTTAATTATTCATGTCATTCATAAATGATTTGGATAATAGCCTAGACAGTCATATATCCAAATTTGCTGATGACACAAAGTGAGATAGAACTGTAGACAATGTAGATTATGGCATAAAATTACAAAGGGATATTGATAAACTAGGTGAATGGGAAAAACTGAGCAGATGTTGTTCAATGTAAGCAAGTGTGAGGTTATCCATATTGGACCGAGAAAGGATAGGTCAGGGTATTTTCTAGAACGTATGAAGTCAAATACAGTGGATGTCCAAAAAGACCTAGGGGTTCAGGTGCACAGATCTTCAAACTGCCATGAACAGGTAAAGGAAACAATCAAGATAGATAATGGAGTGCTGCCCTTTGTATCTAGAGGACTGGATTGTAAGGATGCAGAGGTTATGCTGCAGTTATATAAAATACTGGTTAGGTCCCCATTTGAAGAACTGAGAGCACACCTGGGCACCACACAGAGGAAGGATATATTGGCCTTGGAGGGAGCACTTTACAAGAATGATACCTGGTTTTCAGGGTTTAAGCGACAAGGAGAGATTATACACATCAGACCTATTTTCTCTAGAATTTAGACCGTTAAGGGGTGATCTAATCAAAGTCTTCAAGGTATAAACATGAGGGTAGATAAAATATTTTTGGGGTTGATGATTCGAGGACTAGGGTGCATAGTCTGAAAATTAGGGTCAGACCTATCAGGAGAGATGTAAGGAAGCACTTACACATACAAAGGGTGGTTGATGTTTGGAACTCTTCCACAAACAGCAGTGAATGTGAGATCAGTTGTTAATTTTAAATCCAAGATAGACACATATTTGCTAATCAAACATTTTAAGGGATTTGGGCCAAAGGCGGGGTATTTGGAGTTAGGCTGCATTTTAACCATAATGTTACTTAATTGCAGGACAAGCTTGAGGGGCTGAATGGCCTGTTCCTGATCCTTTGGTGGGATAAACAAATCTCAAACCAAACCTGTTTCAGAGATAGTAGGAACTGCAGATGCTGGAGAATCTGTGATAACAAGCTGGATGAACACAGCAGGCCAAGCAGCATCAGAGGAGCAAGAAGGCTGACGTTTCGGGCCTAGACTCTTCTTCAGAAATGGGGGAGGGGAAGGGGGTTCTGAAATAAATAGGGAGCGAGGGGGAGGCAGATAGAAGATGGATAGAAGAGAAGATAGGTGGAGAGGAGACAGACAGGTCAAAGAGGCGGGGATGGAGCCAGTAAAGGGGAGTGTAGGTGGGAAGTTAGGAGGAGATAGGTCAGTCCAGGGAGGACGGACAGGTCAAGGGGGCGGGATGAGGTTAGTAGGTAGGAGATGGGAGGAGGGGATAGGTGGGAGGAAGGACAGGTTAGGGACGAGCTGGGCTGGTTTTGGGATGCGGTAGGGGAAGGGGAGATTTTGAAGCTTGTGAAGTCCACATTGATACCATTGGGCTGCACGGTTCCCAAGCAGAATATGAGGTGCTGTTCCTGCAACCTTCGGACGGCATCGTTGTGGTACTGCAGGAGGCCCAGGATGGACATGTCGTCTGAGGAATAGGAGGGGGAGTTGAAATGGTTCGCGACTGGGAGGTGCAGTTGTTTATTGCGAACCGAGCGTAGGTGTTCTGCAAAGCGGTCCCCAAGCCTCTGCTTGGTTTCCCCGATGTAGAGGAGGCCACAACGGGAAGAGCGGATGCAGTATACCACATTAGCAGATGTGCAGGTGAACATCTGCTTGATGTGGAAAGTCTTCTTGGGGTCTGGGATGGGGGTGAGGGGGAGGTGTAGGGGCAGGTGTAGCACTTCCTGCAGTTGCAGGGAAAAGTGCCGGGTGTGGTGGGGCTGGAGGGGAGTGTGGAGCGGACAAGGGAGTCACGGAGAGAGTGGTCCCTCCGGAAAGCAGATAAGGGTGGGGAGGAAAAAATGTCTTTGGTGGTGGGGTCGGATTGCAGATGGCAGAAGTGTTGGAGGATGATGCGTTGGATCCGGAGATTGGTGGGGTGGTACATGAGGACGAGGGGGATTCTGTTTTGGTTGTTATTGCGGGGAGGGGCTGTGAGGGATGAGTTGCGGGAAATGCGGGAGACACGGTCGAGGGCGTTCTCCACCACTGAGGGGGGGGACTTTATGGGAGTGGAATGCCTCATCCTGGGAGCAGATGCGGCAGAGGCGAAGGAATTGGGAATAGGGGATGGCATTTTGCAGGAAGGTGGGTGGGAGGAGGTATATTCTAGATAGCTGTGGGAGTCGATGGGCTTGAAATGGATATTGGTTTCTAGGTGGTTGCCAGAGATGGAAACAGAGAGGTCCAGGAAGGAGAGAGAAGTATTAGAGATGGTGCAGGTGAACTTAAGGTTGGGGTGGAAGGTGTTGGTGAATTGGGTGAACTGTTCGAGTTCCTCATGGGAGCACGAGGCAGCGCCGATACAGTCATCAATGTAACGGGGGGTCCGACCCCACCACCAAAGACATTTTTTCCTCCCCACCCTTATCTGCTTTCCGGAGGGACCACTCTCTCCGTGACTCCTTTGTCCGCTCCACACTCCCCTCCAGCCCCACCACACCCGGCACTTTTCCCTGCAACCGCAGGAAGTGCTACACCTGCCCCCACACCTCCCCATCCCAGGCCCCAAGAAGACTTTCCACATCAAGCAGATCTTCATCTGCACATCTGCTAATGTGGTATACTGCATCCACTGTTCCTGTTGTGGCCTCCTCTACATCGGGGAAACCAAGCAGAGGCTTGGGGACCGCTTTGCAGAACACCTACGCTCGGTTCGCACCAAACAACTGCATCTCCCAGTCGTGAACCATTTCAACTCCCCCTCCCATTCTTCAGACAACATGTCCATCCTGGGCCTCCTGCAGTGCCACAACGATGCCACCCAAAGATTGCAGGAACAGCACCTCATATTCCGCTTGGGAACCCTGCAGCCCAATGGTATCAATGTGGACTTCACAAGCTTCAAAATCTCCCCTCCCACTACCGCATCCCAAAACCAGCCCAGCTCGTCCCCGCCTCCCTAACCTGTCCTTCCTCCCACCTGTCCCCTCCTCCCACCTCAAGCC